CGCGCGCGAGAGAGCACATTCTCACCCACATTTGAACACCTACATACATACAAACATACATACATACAATCGCGCACAAATACAAGCCACTGAACACCGCAACAATAACCACCGGCCGGCTTTGCAGCTTCTATCTGTGTTTGCTGACCTTATCTTTGCAGTTTGCTGCCTTTGTGCTTTTGCTGTCGCTGTTGCTGTTGCTGCTTGCCGGCACAACAGGAGAAAAACACCGCGCCACGAAACACCCACAGCAAGAAACTTTGCTCCGGACGTATGTACGACATCACTAAATCACGAACGGACACAAAGTGGCACCCACGCAGTGAACATACGGGGAAAGACCTTCATGCCATACTCCCTACACGCCGTACCTTGCCAAGGTACAACAATTTCATACCGAAATCCCCCTCCGTCACCAACTCGTCTATCCATGTGCAACACGTCTTCTCCCATAGAATCCAAGAACCTGCCCAGCACACCCACCTGGCGATTGTGACGTCAGCTCGGCCGCTAGTGGAGGATGATGACGAAGGCAGTGCGCGGCAGCGGCTGATGCACGCGAGGGGCCCTTGGGGTTCCAGTTCTACACACTCGCTGGCGCCAGGTCCCCTCGATCACACCTGCAAAAGGAGCAAGACAGTTGCCTTACTATGAAAGTCGAAATGAGCAGTCGTCTCTGTCGCGAGGAAGGTCAAGGACATCGGACGAAGTGGTCATGTCTCGCCTAACGACGTGTACTTTTCTGCCAAACTGTCTAGCTTTCAGCCTTCGTAGCCTCCTTACACAGCGTAAGCATAATTGTCGGGATTACGCTCAAACGCCGCATACGCCCATATCCTTGCAGCAGAGCGTTGCACAAACGTCGAAAGCCCGTCGACAAAGCCACCTTGATGCTTCAAATATCCATACATGAACACGAGAGACAAGCAACTCACCTCAAAAAAATTGAGTCGCACGTTGCCCTCAGCAGACGAGTTAGGCATGTCGATGTCCGTGAAGCGGCGACGCTGTGCCTGGAGCAACGTCAGCAGGGGATAAATAAATAAATGATTGAGCCAGCCGCGTAATAAATTAGAGCAATGGAACTGAAGTGCGGCGGCTACAGCGTGAAGGTTTTGCAATGAACAGTACCTTGCAAACGTTTGCAGGGTCCAAAGCAGCTTCTCGGAACTCCACGCAGCTGTTCATATGTTCTAACTCATTTGCTGGTGATATGTAGGAAGCTAGCAGCTTTGACGAACGCAACAGAGGTGGAACAGGCCAAAATACGTTGTGTAAAAGCCAGAGATTATATATCGGGCGTTGTGCACATTTGCTAAAAGAGCTGGAAGTGCTATGGAAGGTGACTTTTGTCAGAGGCCAGCTAAGTTGTACGGCGTCCGGTAAAGGTGCGCAACAGCTGCAAATCCAGGTGGTGTGTTGGTAAGGTGCAGATCGGCAAACTCACTTTGTCAACAGTTAGCCTATTTATGTTTATATTATAGCTGCATGTCACTGCATTATCACGTCCACTCCCGTTCCTCTGCACCTGGTTACGTCCCCGGAAGCAATATCCCTCAGTGCAAGCCCTTGAAAACAACATATCAAGTCATCATCAAGGCCGCTGCTCCATTTTTGCTTATGCGCAAAGCGGGCGATTGACGTATTCTGCTCATGGCGGAAGTGCCACGAGCTATTGATACAGCGTTATGGATCTTGAAGCTCTTCTTGCGTGTCTAAGATGCTTTGAGTCATGTTTGCTCACAGGAGGAACTGCGGCCCGAACAAGGGCGCCACCGAACTACTATCATGGAGGGCTTCCTTTGACAGGGCTAAGCCCTATACACACCTTACGGGTTCCAATCTTCCGTTAAACGCAGGCCTTAGGTGCTCCGAGGAAAAAGCGACATACCGAAGGTCATCGTCAACCACCTACACAATGACAAGGATGCTGGCGCCCTCACCCTCGCTGTCACCAGCACCAGCACCGTCCTCGTCACCCTGCACTGCTGTGAGCAGCGAGATCGTGCCCCGCCCAGCTCCCTACCACCCTATATCCATCCCGTTCACCCTCGCCCGTTAGCCCAACCCGCCACATTTCCGTTCCCTATCACTTGTTGCCATCCATCCCTTGCTCCAACAAGTTCAAGATCAGCTCCATCACTCTGCTGTCATCCCAACACCAAGTGACAAGATGTAATCAGCAGCTGCCTTCATGGTGGCGACCGAGCTGCGGTAGCCTGAGAGTGGTCCACAGGGTGGCTGCAAGACAGACGGTCCGACACATCCAAGTACAAGAGAGTGTATGTATGTATGTGTGTGTGTGGTCAAGCCGAGTCAAGCTTGCGCATTTCTGTGTTAAATGTTCGACACGACTTGACTGATGGCTTGTTATGATGTCCTGAGTCCCAGGGGTCGCAGGTCGTTCACTCCCTTCCAAGTGCCAACTTCTCAGTGGATCGCTCAGGTTCCACACCCATCACCGGGGAATTTGCAAGATCGAGGGCGGCTGAACTCCATTCCTGTTCAGCTCACAAGTCAACTTTATCCCAGGCCACCACCGTCCATCGACGAGGGGCACTTTTACCTTCCACCATCGGAAGGATTTTCAACCCTAACAAGTTCCAAGTTCCACACTTGCGTGCGGAACCCACACTTGCATGCGGGTGTGTCCGTAAAAGCCGGGGGTCCATGGATGTTATATTAGTAGTATTGATGCGGGTACACAAGTGGTGCTCGGTGCCATAACCATGCCCACACCCAGCCTGGCTACCGGCGCGTAGCCTGTTGCCCTCACAGTAATTGATAAGTCGCCTCCCGATGATATTGCCGTAACTTTTGCATAGTGGGCCCCCAACCGCAATGCCCCGATAACTGTCGCAGCAGTACGCGTCCCCCTTTTTGTATACGAGGAAAAGGGTGCTAGTCGTGAATATTCAGCTCGCGGATATTCAGCTCCGTATATGCGGTTGCATAGCACCGTTAAGTAAGGCGCCAACACAAACACGGGCCGCTGCCCTTCACTCTCCCTGATAGCGTACCTATAATACCTATAATACTCGGCCGGGGTTCCCTCCAGGCCCGCGGACAGGCTATGTTGCGCATAGCCTTTAGACCGCTAACAATTTCGCCCTCCGTTTAATCCTTGTTAAGCCAAGCAACTAATTCCTGTCGGTGCATCACCCGGTCCTCATCCTGCCATTTAAACTGGATACCCTCGTTGCAGCCTTGCCTCGCGTTTCCCGCACCATTAAGCACCTTGGAAAAATGCTCGGTAAAAGCATTAATATCTGAGATCCAGCAATCAGGCGGTTTTCCCCCACGCAGCCATGTCCACAAGCCGCGTGGGTTGGACAGGGTGGCCTTAATCCTCCTCCGCATATTTTCCATTTCGGTCTCCTGAATAGCGGCCTTCCTAGTAGCCTCCTTAAAGACACGGTGCTTGGCCTTCCAGGTAGCCCTATGAATGTCCGGCAGCTTGCCCGAGGCGGAGTCCCTGATCTCCTTACGGAAACTCATCATATCATTCCATGCAGCGGCACAGTCCTCGTTCCACCAGTCACGCTTCACAAAATTCACCTTTTTACCCGTGCGACGCCGAACATCTCCCTAGCACACGTCCCGATTAGGGTGCGCAAGTCATTCATGCTTTCATCACAAGAGGCCCCTTCTCCTTGAGTTATCCTGTCCTCCCCACCTTACACACACACAGACACACGCACGCACACACAAGCACCCTCTCTCTTCCCAACGTATACACCCACCTTGTCCACAGCCACCCTTCGCCCCTTCTTCCCCCCAAGAACACACACACACACACACACACACACAGGTACATGAGCGTCTACTCATGTACCTGTAACACGGCTCGTTCCACAGGCTGCCGTACCCCCATGATGCGGCAGTTCAGAGCGTCGCAAACTTGGTGTTTGGAAGTTGCCATCATAGCGTAACTGCGCGAGAAAGCATACGTTTTTCAAATATGCTTTGCACCATCAACATTGCTGACACGAAGAGGGAAGGTCTTTGGCCCAAACAACAAATCTTTCCTGAGATGAATTCACACAGCGAAAGTGCTCGAATGATCGAGGAGGGATCGTGGCCAGCTCTGCAATGTGAAATTTGAAGCCGAGAGCGTCTCGGTGCGTGCGAGCACCGTTGTTTCACGTGAAGTAAAGTTGTGTTTCAGCTATTTTCGGTATTATCTGTTGCTTCTGTTAACTGAAATTTTGTTACCCGTTTGAGAATTACTTTGGTAACTGGGTTGTAACCGTATGTTCATGTCACGGAACCAAGGGTCATTTGCATTTCACTCCCCAGACTCCAGACAGCGTTTACAAACCTATCTAACCAACACTTGGAGCTCTAAATATCTCATCGCATCTCTTCCTTTCGCTTTCATGCTTTATGCGTGCGTCCAGTTACACGCGGCCGGCGGCGTTTGTGAAGTAGTAGGCTGCTGCATGCTGAACCACCGAACAGCCAGCAGCGCTTCCAACACGTTGCCTGGCCCTCCGCTTTCCGGACACCATCACACAGAATACCATATTACCATCAACTTTGAATTGGATGGGAGCGACGCTATGTCGTTGCGTCTCGCGCGGCGCCCAAAGCAATGCCGCTCGCCCCGATATTGCCGCCAGCACCGCAACTTTTGCCAACAGCAAGCCAAATCACATCTGCGATCCTCCTTATCAACAGCAGCAGCTCAAGTCGCACCGACTGCGGAGGGGCCCGAGGGGGCACAGCCCATGGGTCCTTCCAGCGCACCTCAACGTCACTTCGGACCTTTCGGCCACCAACGCGCAGCACCTTTGCCAGCTTCCCGCCATTCGCGAAGATTCGTCATCGTCCTCAGCTGTCGCTGCCGCGACCGACTCCCTTAGCCTTAGAGCTGCAACGGCAGGCCTTAGCGCAGCAGCAGCAGCAGCAGCAGCAGCAGCAGCAGCAGCAGGAGCTATTAGTCGTAGTACGAAAGGTCGGTCGCAGGAGGACGAGCAACAAGAGCAGGAGCAGGCCCCAGTTCAAGCATTCCAACGCGAAGCCGTCGAGCAGAGGCAAGTACGGCCAAGGGACCTGCCGCTGGTCGTCAGATTACGGGCTACAGTCGCAGCAGCAGCCGCCGCCGCCGCCGCCGCCGCCGCCGTCGCGGGCCAGCCTGGCGGCGGCGCTGGCGCACACAGGCGACGGCTCGCTCAGCTCGCATCCTGGCTACAGCCACCACCGCCGGTGAAGCCGCCGCCACCGTCGCGAAACAGCGTCCCGCAGCAGCAGCGGCCGGAGCAGCAGCAGCAGCAGCAGATGTTGACTCAACAGCTATCCGAGTCGTACGGATCTGAATCTGCCGTATCCACGTTGCAAAACATGTACGGCGGATCTACAGGGCTGAGGCCGCAGCTGCAAGCCGGGACGTGGGGTCAGGAAAGGTCGATGTCGACGCCGACGCCGACGCAGCAGCAGCAGCAGCAGCAGCAGCAGCAGCAGAGGCAGGCGCAGGTGGCGGCGGCGTTCGCGGCGTACCTGTCGGGAGGTACTGGCGGCGGTGGCGGAGGTACTGGCGGCGGTGGCGGCGGCGGAGAGCGGCTACCGGGTGCTGCTACAGCTGGCAGCCGCCTGGCCCCCGCGCGCCGGTGATTCCTGTGCAACCACAATAGCGAAGTGGCTCGCCGCAGCCGCCGCCGTCGCCGTCGCCGTCGCCGCCGCCGCCGCCGCAGCAGCAGCCACCGCCATCACAGGTCGAACCTGCTGCCCCAGGAGGGGGAGGAGGGCGGCCTGGCGTATCCGGCAGTCGTACGACACCGCTGCTGTTGCCGTCGCTGGAGACGTCGCCAAGTCGCCGAAAAGGCTCACAGCTGGCGGCGACGGCACGTCCTCACTGTACGGCGGCACCCGTGTAGCCACGGCGGCGGCGCCTTCCGCCGCTGATCGCGCTACTGGGCCGCTACAGGGTGGTGGCGGCAGCCGTCTCAATGGCTGCGTGATGGAAAGGATGGTATCGGAGCGGGATGCCGTGATGTCCGGGAAGCCGAGCCAGAGAGGGTGTCTCTGTCTCCTGGGCTTCGACTCCGCCTCCGCCAGGATCTGGGCACGGAGGCCGCAGCGGCAGCGGAGGCGCGAGGCGGCGGAGGCGAAGGCTCGGAGAAGGGCATTACCCTTGGCGGCGGCGACGGAGGCGACGGAGATGATGAAGGCGACTGAGGCAGTGGCGGCGCCGAAGAGGAAGTGGAGCCGAGTGCTGAAGCTCCCGCCGGCGGCGGCTTGGCCAGCGGCGGCAGCTTCAGCGAGGGGGCTTTCGCCAGCGGCATGATCGTCCTTGGCGGCAGTGGCGACTCGGCGGAGGGTCCAAGCTGCCGCCAG